ACCAGAACTGGGCTGCATAATCTAGGTGAAGGCCTTACTAATGATGTATAAAGCTGCAGTATGACCTCGGGCTTCTGTTGCTTACACTTCTTGATATAAAATCCCAATATCTATTTGCCCTATTATGTACACTTAGGCACTGCTGTCTTGGTTTATGGTTAACTGCTCACCATAACCCCCAAGTCCTTTTCACAATCAAACATCCAAGTCCTTTTTTCAATCTGTATGGCTAAGTTCTACATTATTTAACTTATAAGTGCTAGGTTATGGACACTTTCCCGAGCTTTAGAACCTTGCATGTATCTACATTGAACTGCATCTGCCACTTTTTCTGACCAGGTATCGAGTTTGTCTAAATCCTCCTGAAGTTTCCCGATATCTACGTTTGAATCAACCCATCCTACCTGTCTTTGTGTCATCGGTGAATTTGCTCTTTTTACTAGTAGTTCCCTCATCAAGATCATTGATCTATATTATAAACAACAACAAGCCCAAGACTGATCCCTGTGGAACGCCCACTTGTTACAGATCCCCACTCAATTTAACCCCCTTTATGGACACTCTCTGCTTTCGTCTGTGAGCCATGACTTGATCCAGAGACACTTTTTCCCCAATGCCATCTCAGCTAAATTGACTAGTAATTTTTCCTAAAAATTTAGGTCAGGGGTTATTGGGTGGTAATTTGATGATAACGACTTGTCTCCTGCTTTAAAAATAGGAATTACCTTAACCTCTTCCCCATATCAGACACTACACCTGTTTTAAGAGATAAATTAAAATTATTAGTTAATGGTTCACAGAGTTCCATTTTGCATTCCTTCAGAACTCTTGAAAAAATCTCATCAGTCCTGGCGACTTATTTGCTTCAGTCGGTCTATTGTTTCATAACCATTTCACTAGTGACTGTGATGTTGTTACATAATTTATCTTCTTCAGGCCCACTATAAAAATTAATTACTGGGATATTAATTACTGGATAAATTAGATTTTGTGGGCGAGGGGCTTGGATTTATATGCAAGCGTGCACGAGCGTGTTAGACAGAGTGAATGGAAACGAATGGTTTTTGGGACCTGATGAGCTGTTTAAGTGTGAGCAGGGTAATATTAGTGAGGGATTCAGGGAAACAGGTTATTTTTATATAGCTGGACTTGATTACTGGAAATGGGAAGTACAGTGCCTGCACTTTAAAGGAGGGGTTTGGGATATTGGCAGTTTGGAGGATATGTTTATACAGTAGGCCCGCTTCATGGCTTTCACTTTGCAGCTTTCCGCTAATGCGGTTGTGGAAATTATTTAATTTCCGAAGCTATAGTGCCTAATAAGTGTTTAATGTGTTGATTTGGGTCAAAATGTATTTGTATTTTGAATGGAACCAACTGGGTTCCCGCTGCACATGCGCAGACGTGCGGGGGTATAGGTTGGACTGGGCACGAGGGGCGGGAGTGTTTTGAATGTAGTGAGGAGGCTGGGAAAGCATGGAACCAGGAAATTGGCGTTCACGGCGGCCTAAGGATTAATATAGGCCTCATTTCATAATAGGAAGTGTCGTAACTGTTCCTGGTGAAGAGTGAGGGAACGTGATTTACAGGACCACCGTAATAAAGTGGTAAAATGAGTGAATAAGGGTAGGACCAGGTGACTGGGGCGTCACCATGGACTGTGTCCCGGGGAAAATTACCCTTGGTTTAATCATCACTCATCGGTCTCAGATCTTAATGGAGTGATCTCTAATGTGTATAATAATTATGAGACATTAAATCGTCTTGTGATTGTAATGTAATTAATGATGATAACGCTAAGTTAAGAGAATGCGTGAAGTGAAATAAGTCGCCTTGCTCCGAGTGAACACGTTAGACCTCGTTGTTCCCGTGACGAGGAAAGTGAAGTTCATTGAGTCACGACTTCTAAACCGGGACAAACCAATGGATACCTCGTCCTGCTGGAATGAGAACCGTGTCGGTGTAGCAGGACATCGAAATGAGATGGTGAATGGAGGAAATAAGGAGTATCAATCACCCACAGTTAAGTAACCCTTCTAGTTATAGCAGACTGATACTGGCCAGTTAGGTATGTTGTAATTGGATAGGTTATGGGTGATCCAGCTACATCAATTGACATAAATAACAGTGTGACTTTGTCAATGGTCCAAGTCGGACCGAAACGTCGTGTAAGCTTCTCTCTTTATGTGCGGGATTATTTGTGTAACATCAAGTGACCCCCGAGAATATCTGGTAAGTGGTGGATTATGTACAAGTGTTTTTTCCTTGATGGGTATATCCATGTGTAACCTACCCCCCCCCCCTTCATTCAGTTTAAACTAATATAATCTATACAGTCCACAATTAATTAGTAGCACCGTACTTGAGGTGCTACCAATTTATACTGGTCTCGGATAGATATGGATAAGATTGTGAGGGTCGAGGGGGCCACCTGCAGTGACCAGAGGTGGTTAAGTTTTCTCACATGTCTACATGGGTGACTATGGTAAACAATATCGTTGTTGTCTCCCAAGGAGATTACTCGTATGCATGTAATGTTGAGGTATGTACAAGTAATCACTCCTATAAAATTTTCCACATCTGCCATTTCAAATTATAACCAAAACTCTCTATACAGCTCCTCCACCTGACTTTCTGTTACGGTCACTGCACCCCACCCTGTTTGTTTACATTCTCCCTGAGATCCGTAAGCACTAAGTCTCTCCATTATGTCCGGAAACTCCAAAATTTCAAGTGTTTTTAAAAGTTATTTCATGTTTTGTATATACTCTGATAATTATACTTATGTATACATGTACCTAAATAAACTTACTCACTGTGCTGGCATGCAGGTACACATTAAAATCAGTAAGAGTGTCTTTTGTCTCGAGACGTCATATTAGTAATGATAATAATCACCGAGATTCATTAAATGTCGTATATTACATTAATATACATATTTTCATTAATCCATCTATGATATTTTTTTCAAAATTATATAATAAACACGATATATAACATATGAAGATGATAAATACACCCCACAGTAGAATAAATAAACTTGTACCAGTGATGGCAAGAATAACATTTCTCTAGTCCAGCATAGAGAAAATGTGTTACTTGTTGGAAGTAGAAAATTATTCCTTTTGTATGTAAGTAAGTTTTTCAGGTATACACAAATACAGTTACATAGATTATCACGCAAAGCAGCATATGTGTAAAGTACCTAGGATAAAAAACCAAAAGTCGAGTGACTTATTCCATTGCCTTTACTCCAAGCTATTTTCTTTGGTTTTTTGGAAAACCCTTTTTTTATTC